TTCATCTTGGAGGCCGGTTGAAACCAAGATGGCCGCCATTCAAATTTTCGCGCGGGATCATCGTTTTTCTTCTTTGTAATGATTTTCTCCGCAGTCATATCACTCACTATTTTTGGATCTTTAGGTTTTTCATTGGTGATGTTTTTCTCTCTCGCTGCTCCGCTGTTCTTTAGCATATCTTGGAGGTTCGCGATGAGGCTTTCATCATTCTTCTGGCTTTTTAATAGTTTTAATATCTCTGACCTGAGTTCGTTATTTTCTATTTCGATTTCCTCCTGGTCATCAATTATTTCTTCGTCTTCAGTGGTGTATTCTTCGGATTCTCTCGAAATTGCATTCGTGGATTCGTTGATTATTTCTTGTTCCGTTTCCATTTCTTTGCTGTAGGCCCTGGTGTTGGGCCTATCTTTCTTAGACATTTTAAAGTTTTTTATTGAGTCAATTAACCATCCTCTGCTACCATTTTGTTGCAATATTTTCAGGATCAGACTCAATAAGATTAGCAAGAGTTAAAGATTTAACTATGTATTCTTTTATTTACATTAGACATTCTATATTCACTGAATATTCACAGATAGAAGCAAGGGAAAGGGTGTAGGTAGCTCCTTATATATACAATGGGTGGAGCTATATGTGGGAGTGGTGAATTATGAATACATTAAGAAGTGAAGAATAAGTTAACCCCTGATACCCTGTCTGTACACTATTTACACATTAGAGAATAAGGCATTTACATCTGACACAACCAACCAACCAACCAACCAAATAAATAAATAAAAATATTATGGTTTCAGGGCCATGCAAGACTACTGTTCATGTATCAACATATCTTTTCATACATGACTTGTTAGTGTTTGGTGTCTTATAGTTTGTCCTAGGCCTCCTGAAGTACCTCTGGCTACCATCAATGTAAATAAAGAAGCATACAGACCTGGAGAAGGCATTGTATATCAATGTAACCCAGGTTATATTTACAAGTCTGGCACACGGAGATACATATGTCCTTCATCTGGTACATGGCCTACCATTACATTCAGATGTATGCGTAAGTATGTCCTTTCTGTAGTTGCCTTTTTTTTTGCTTTTTCCACACAAATCAATATTTTTGCTTTTTTAAATAAAAACCTATTTTCTATTTTCAGTTTGTGAAATGTCTAACTTTTGAAACATATTTGAATCTTCCAAATTTCCATGGCTGCCGCTCTGCTCCCTTTCCTCATCAAAATCATGAGATTTTTTTTCTCCTCATCAAAATCATGAGATTTTTTTTCTCCTCATCAAAATCATGAGATTTTTTCTCCTCATCAAAATCATGAGATTTTTTTTCTCCTCATCAAAATCACGAGAATGAGGTCATATTCTTGATGTAAAAACCTTTCTATGTACCAAAATTTTAAGGGAGCTTCTTCTGGAATGATGTAGATGGCAAATATGATGGGAAACAAAGGCTAAAGTCAAGACACTGGAAAAGAAACAGCCCCAAGATTAAGTTGTAGAAGCATCTTTTCAGAAAAGACAAGAGTCAATATGAAAGAATACATTCAATCTCAATGCAGAAGGCTAATAGTGTTAAAAGCTGTTAATCAACCAGTTAAATCAAAAGAGAAGCAATGATCCTGGCCAGTTCTTTTTCTTTAATATAATTTTTATTTTATTTGCAAAGCTGGCCCTGAAGAAGAAATTTTCTGAAGAAATTTCACAAAAGCAATGATAACTGCTCCTCTTTTGTAATCTGGCCCCCAAAAGATGACGGTAATCTAAACAATAACCAGCATTATCCAGGAAAGTCTGGAAATGCAAAGCAGGGAAAAAAAGGAATATTAGAAACCAGCTGGACCTCGTATAATAGCAATAGCACTTAGACTTATATACAGCTTTATGGTAAACTGCTTAGAGAGAGTAAACTGCTCTCTAAGCGGTTTACAGAGTCAACCTATTGCCCCCAACAATTTGGATCCTCATTTTACCCGCCTCGGAAGGATGGAAGGCTGAGTCAACCTTGAGCCTGGTGAGATTTGAACTGCCAAATTGCAGACAGATGGCAGTCAGCAGAAGTAGCCTGTAGTACTGCACTCTAACCACTGTGCCAGGCTCAGTGACATTCAGTGGGTGATGTTTTAGTCAATATAATAGCCTCACAATCAGTTCCATTAGATTTCATTGAAAGATTTTGTGGTGTGAAACACAGTACCAGGTCAACAAGTGTTGATTCTGAGTCATCCAGCTCAAGGTACATAGTTCTCACAGCATGTTTGAACTTCTGTAGAGATTCTCAGTCATTCAGGTCATGGTTGTCCCAAAGGTGCTTTTTTAGGAGGCAACTGGATTTTCTTGTTTTTTCTTTGAAAAAGAAGTCTTTCACTTCTCATCCAAGAAGCTTCTTCAGCTCTGACTGGATGGTGGGGAATGGAAGGATTTATATTCCTTGCAGACAGCTGGTAATTTGCACCCTTTTAAGTGCTTCAACGACCTTCTAAAACAGGGGTGTCAAACTCATGTCATTATGGCGGCATCACGTGACATATTGAGATCCCCCCCTTTGCTAAAATGGGTGTGGGCATGGCCAGCTCATGACACATCCAGCCACAGGCCAGGGGTTTGACAGCCCTTCTCTAAAAGGATGCAAATTACCAGCTGTCTGCAAGGAATATAAATCCTTCCATTCCCCACTATCCTGTCAAAGCTGAAGAAGCTTCTTGGATGAGAAGTGAAATGTATTCAAAAGAAAAAACAAGGTAGTCCAGTTGCCTCCTGAAAAAGCACCTTTGGGACACAGCATGTTTGGTTAGGTCAAGGAACCAGGTCAAGGAAGTTCTCTTGTGAGAAGATCAAAAAGGATTGAGAAAAACAGATCAGGGATAAATCTATTCCATTACATCTGCTATGTTGTTGAAAAAACAAAACCTAGTTAATATATTGGTTACCTCCTCCTCCAGCAAAACAATCAGAAGAGAAAGAATGGGATGTGTCGATTTCAGCACTCTTGACTAAGACCTGGCAATTTCAAACATGCCTCTGTTTGAGCCCCCCAAATACACCTAGTCAATACAGAAAGTCTGAGTGATATAGTAGTTTTACCAATAGTATTCTGGTACAAGGACTCAGTGATGTTAGTAACGTTTTGGAGAAGTTGGCTGTTGTTTTGTTTTAACCATTTAGTTCTGTTGGACTCTTTGTGACCTTATAGGCAAGTGCTCTTCATGCTACCCTGTCAGGCATCGCTTCTTTCCATTGTTGTATGTTCACCTTTGCATCGAAACTGATGTTATCAAGCCAACAGGTTCTTTGCTTGCCCCTTCTTCTTTCTCCACTAAACATTCCTAGCATCATTGCCTTTTCCAATGAATCCACATGAATAATATGGCCAAAGTAAATCAGATGTAGTCTTCTGATTTTAGCTGCCAGTGATGTACATTCCATATTTTCAAAATGACCTTTTTTTAAAAAAAAAAACTTATTTAATGGGATTGAATGCTGTCAAAGCCACCATGATGGAGAACTAACCGAGTTATTCCCTGATTTGGTTGTGTATGTGGTTAGGCCAAGGCCAGTATCTAGAGGAAGCCGCTTTATTCTGGCACCCATGGAGGAAAATTCTACAAACATCTCTCTCCTTTTTGAAAGATAAAAATTGTTACAAGGAAAAAAAGAGTCTAATTAAATGCTTTTATTGCATTTTAATAAGGTGTGAAATGTATAGCCTAAAACGATTGATTCATTCTTCCTAGTAGGAGGATTGGGGTTTGCCCCTCCTTTATTTACCCAAGTTACCCGTGGCACTTATGTCAAGCAAGAAGAGAAAATGGTAGGAGGTCTTCTGAGGATCTGTGCATCCTCAGATCAAACAGTCACATTAATAGGACAATCATTACCATGGGTACGTTAAATTAATCCAAAATTGCTTTGGCTTCTAAATTAGAGTCTATCCATAGGATTTATTTGCAATGGCCTCCACACTGGTCCAGATCACTGACTATCTTAATACCCTTCTTTGGAAAAAAAAATCCCCCGAGATTGCTTTTGATAATGCACAACAGATGGAAACATCGATAAAAGCTTTTCTTGCTTTGGTGAGAAAAGCTGTAATTATTGGTTTCTTTTTGTCACCTAGTTATTAAAAAGGTTCTCCAATCATGTTTAAAAGAGCAAAGAATAGAGAATACATTAGGCAAAAAAATAAATAAAATAAAAATGAAGGCGAACAATTTTGAATGGTGTGGCTTCTTGAAGCTCACATGATGTTAGACCTTTTTCTTAGGGGCAAACATGTTTGAAGAAATGTTTGTACTAAAAATTTAAACTACTCCTATGGCATCTGCTTTCCAGCACTGACTTTCTCCAGAAGTATCTAGCCTGGGGGGGGAAAAGTGTTGATTACTTGATCTCTACAGATCTCATCCTTTCTGGCCTGTTGTGGCTGGAACACCATTGTTCTTGAGTATAAGCAGGTGAACTGTGCTATTAAGCTTATTGTCTTAGTTCATCAAGTAGAAAATGATCTATTGCAGTGATGGCTAATCTTTTCCGGACCGAGTGCCCAAAGTGTATGCGCCTGAGTGTCCAAAGCGCATGCGCCCGAACTCCAAAAATGTAATGCATGTGCACCCCCAGCATCTGTCCCACCCCCACACATGTGCACGCCCCTGCACACCTCCCTTCCCCCGCGCATGCACAAGCAGCCATCCTGCATGCGCCCTGCCCCTGCGCATGCACGGCAGAGACCTGAAGACCAGCTGGCCGGCAGGAGGCATGTGTGCATGCACAGCAGAGCTGAACTAGGGCAACGGCTCGCGGGCCATCAGAGGGTGCTGTGTGCCATCTGTGGCACGTGTGCCATAGGTTCGCCATCACGAATCTATTGTTAATCATCTACCCACTCATCCATTGGAATGAATTGGCTTAACTTGGTGATTGCTTCTTGTTTACAGTGTATCTGTTTCTCTCTTCCCCAATTAAATATTAATAAATGCATGTATATATATTTATATATATTAAAACAGCCAGGAAATGTTCCTATCCTGGACCCTTGGACAATGGAGAAATACACATCACTGATCTCAACTACCTGAGTGTCATAAACTTTTCCTGTAATAATGGGTAAGTTTGTATACCGGCCTATTGAAATGAACCTTTATCTCTCACAAATTAAATTTGTAACATGAACTTCATGTTATATCTATATCAAGCAAATGTATAATATTCTCTATTCTTATTCCCCGGGTTGATTTTTAAATGGGGATGAATACCTTGCTTTAAAAAAATTTGGAGGGGAGGCAATGGACATTTTATTTCTAGTCTTAAACTAAGGGTTGATAGTAAGTGTTCTCTACATCCTTGGAAGAAGTCAAAAGTCATTCTTTGCATCTGTTTGTATTTTTCTTTGTTTTTCTTTATTCATTTTCACACTTGTATTCCTAGTCTCCTTTTACTCTTTATCATTTCTTTTTATTGTTAGTATGTGTTGTTTTTAATGTGTGTTCTTTGTAAAAGGCAATACAAATATTCAGTCCTTATAGGTTTTCCCAGGAATATGATATTATTGTTTCAGGAAAACAAATACCGTAAGGGCCAGTTAGAAATCTCAATCGGTAGATTTTATGACTCTGTTGGCAAAACAGTTTCAAAGGTCAGTTGTGATATGTTTCAAACACTATTAAAACGTGTAAAGAAGGAAAATAAAACCAAAACTCTGCTTTGGCCCTGGTCCTGCAACACTACTTAATTCACCCAGAGTTCCTCCTTGAGGAACTTGGCAGCAGACAACCATATTTACTAGAATTTCCATTCATATAGCCTTGCCCATCTTCTCCAGAAAGCCTCTAGGACAGTGATGGTAGACCTTTTTGGCACAGAGTGGAAGAGGAGCTGCCCAGGGCACATGCGCGTACCCAAACTTCTGGTTTCAGCCAGCTACTCTTCCGGGTTTCTAGCGCACTTGTGCGTGCAACGATCAGCTGGCCGGCGCGCATGCTCGCGCAGGAAAACAGAAAACCAGCTCTTCTAGCTTCCGGCACTGCCACATGCAAAAAGGCCGGCTGATCGTTGTGCGCGCATGCATGCCAGAAACCCAGAAGAGGAACGGGTGATGCCGCATGTGCCAGGCAACATGGCTCCGCGTGCCACTTCGGGCACACGTGCCATAGGTTCGCCATCACTGCCCTAGGATCTCATGAAGCCTTGCACCAAGGCCAGCCAACACTACAGGACATCATTTGTCTCTTCCTTCTTGACAAGATAGGTAACAAGCAGGTGTGACTCAGTTGCTGCAGTCTGTCGATAGTTAAGAAGTTTGCTACCACTTCTATAATGAGAGGCTCCGTTTTTTTTTTGTATAGGCATTTTCCCCCCTTTTCTATTTCTTTTTCTGAAAAACTAGGTACGGAAGCAAAACTGTCCCCAACCATAACTATGTGGGTGGGGTTAGTTGGACTTTGTACCAGTTTGCATCATTTGGGGGCTACATTTAGCCTTTTGTGAATGGGGTGATTGAGTCATTTGACACCTTTGATTGTGGTTTCCACAACAAACCTCCTCATTGACTCAGTTAAGGATATTTGTTCCAGATGTTCAAAAGAAAACCCCAACAATTTAGCAAAGGTTCATATAGTGTGTTAAGCCATGATTTCTTTTACATTCACTTTGCAGAATAAATCCCAGTGGCTGGGTTGACCCATCAGTATAAGTCACAAGTTGTGTTTTGGAAATCATGGAGGCTTAATTTATATAAGAAGACAGGAAGCCAAATCAAACAAAATATGTTAAAGTGTAATGCAATAAATGCTCCCCAGTCATTACAGGTAGTCCTCAACTTACGATCACAATTGAGACCAAAATCCCAACGCTAAGCAAGGCAGTAATTAAATGAGTTGCACTTCATTTTATGACCCTTTTTGCCGTTGATAAGTGAATCACTGCAGTTATTAAGTGAATCATATGGTTCTGGCTTCCCCAATGGACCTTGCTTGTTGGAAGCCGACTTGGAAGGTTGCAAATGGTGATCACATGACCCTGGGATAGTACAGTTGTCATAAATATAAGCCAGTTGCCAAGCCCTTGAATTCTGATCATGAAACCATGGGGATCCTGAAGCAGTTGTGTGAAAAATGGTCATAAGACACTTTTCTCAGTGCCGTTGTAACTTCAAAACATCGCTAAATGAATATTGTAAGTCGAGGACTACCTGTACTGTTACTGCCTGAGCCCCTGCATTGTTAGTAGATGCTTAACAAGCATGATGTAACCATTTTCAGAACTGCTCTCATGAGAGTATTTTATACTCAGGTTTGTTCTTGAAGGACCAACAAGCAGCCAATGCCAGGTAGATGGGAGCTGGAGTGCACGCCTGCCTGAATGCGAACGTAAGTATGACAAGATATTAATATATACATACAAAGAAATGCACCATCTCACTAATTGGAATAGTGAATTTATCAAGGTATTTAATTTTTTTCAATGAGCACACCTTTGGATGGAAAGACAATTGAAATAGGGAATTTCTTTTAACATGATCTCAATCAAAAACATTCCTGAGGGAGAGCTACAATATTGAAAAGTGTTGAAAAGAAGCCACAAACAGAAAACTACATTTATGGCTCAGTGGTGGGATTCAAATTTTGTTACTACTGGTTCTGTGGGTGTGGCTTGGTAGCTGTGGCATAGCTTGGGGGAGATGGCTTGGTGGGTGTGGCAGAGGGGAGGATAGTGTAAAATCTCCATTCCCACCCCACTCTAAGGGAAGGTTACTGCAAAATCCCCATTTCCTCCCTATCAGCTGGGACTCGGGAGGCAGAGAATAGATGGGGGCCGGGCCAGTCAGAGGTGGTATTTACCGGTTCTCCGAACTACTCATAATTTCTGCTACTGGTTCTCCAGAACTGGTCAGAACCTGCTGAATACCACCTCTGTTATGGCTTGACTAGGGCTATACCTGGCTTGCAAAACTTGAAATCTATACCTGGCTTGCAAAACTTGAAATCACCATGAGGTGGTAACAAAGAGTGAGGGTTTCCTACAAGCCTTGGCTGCCATCTAAACCGTGGGACATGGGTAGTCTTTGACTTAGGAACACAATTGAGGCCAACATTTCCGTTGCTAAGCAAGACAGTTGGAAAAAGAATTTTGCTCTATTTTACAACCTTTCTTGCCACAATTGTTTAAGTCAGAGGTGTCAAACTCGTGGCCCATGGGCCAGAGGCATCACGAGCTGCCCACGCCCGGTTTAGCGAACAGGGAAAAAGTCATGATACGTCACGATACCGCCATGACGCCGTGAGTTTGACACCCCTGGTTTAAGTGAATCATTCAGTTTGGCTTACATAGTCTTTACTCTAGAAACTCTTTTAAAAACTACATTGTATGCTGTTCAGTATTTTCTTAATAATGGATCACAATTCCACTGACCGCACATTAAGTTTAATCTCCAGTTTGGTGATTTAGCAAACAATTTGCAGAAATTAGCTACCAGCATTTTATCAATTTAATAAATACTCTTAAGATGCAATTATATGAATTCAATAGGATAAAAGTTTAAGTGCGATTTTTAGCATTTTTGGGAGAGCATTGTATTAAACAGATTTGCTTTGTTTTTCTAGCTGTGATTTGCCCTCCACCTCTAGTTTCTGAGTTTGGAGCTCTCTCTTACCGTAAAATTGAGTCTGGAGATCAATTTGTTTTCCAAGAGACAATCAGTTTTAGTTGTCTGTTACCTCTTGCGCTGTTTGGAAGTGAAACAGCTACCTGCCAGGCTGATGGAAGCTGGACTGCATTACCTGAATGCAAATGTAAGTCCTATAATATAGTATTGGTAGCTGGGAATTTTGGGATTGTATTGGCAACATATCTTGAGAGAACCATACCGGAGGAAACTGGCTTAAAGTAAGATTAGGTATTTATTTATTTAGCATATGGCTGGTCACACACAATATTAAAACACTTCATTTTTACAGGTTAAAACAATTAAAACAATTTTTAAAAAAGCAGTAAGAAAACCTATGAGGAAAACAGAAATAACATTTCAGAGTTTAATGTCAAGTTTGGAGATCCAGTCAGTAGCTGTCGTTGTTACGCAGAGGAAATCCCTAACATCTCCTGGATACCTTCTGTTAGAGCATTCCCTCACTATATGTTGGATAGTCTGTCGAGGGGCCCCAAATCACATTGTGCTGAAGGTGTTTTTCCCCATTTATACAAGGAGTCGGCACACACCCCATGAGTCACCTATATGTGTCGGGGTAGATTAAATCCTGGACGTATACTATTCGGATTAATATGCTCAGAATGGGTAAAGAGGAATTTAACAGGATCGTACTATACTCCCGAATGACAGCTTATTGTCGTAAATGCGGGGGAAGTATGTGACTAAGAACTGGTAGCCAGTAACTAGATGTAAATGCACCCAGTAATTAGCCTCATCGTATGGTTAAGTTGAACATCAATAAGTCCTGTATGTGAGCTGTTTATCCATACAGGTGCGCAGTATTCCGCTGCAGAGTAGCAAAGCCAGAGGGCTGCACATCAAAGAGTTGGGGCTGAAGTTCCCCAAGTTGTTCCGCATAGTTTTTGTAGAATGTTATTTCTGCTGTTAAGATTAGGTAAATTGCCTCTGAATCTTCTCCCAACCATCACCTAGTAGGAATTCTTTGATTATGGCTCGATCAACTTTGGAATCAGGACATAGAGAACATTTCTATAGGCAATCTTCAGCTATTTGCCTCCAGTGCGTCCAGCAGTGGGACATAAATCTCGTGAAAAAACTGCTTCTCCAAATTTCAAATTTCTCTCCTCTGTTTTAGTCAAAGTGATGGACAGCTGTCCTCTCTGGTTTCCCTGCTTCTTCTCCTTGATAGGGCCATCAGCGGGAGAATACTTTAGATACCCTACAAGAAAATTTGGTTGATGGTTTTGCTCTCAGCAAGATAGGAGTGTGCCGAGGATGACATCCTGTTCTTGTTGTCCAAAACAGTACATGTTCCTCACATTGGGACAAGCAGGAAGTATAGATTAGCCCAAAATACAAGCCCTGGATTTCCCATTTTCTCTTTTTTCCCCCTAACAGCTGTAGAATGCCCACCTCCAGAACCAATGGAACATGGATTCATAAACTTTGCTCTTCGTGGTACTTTTCATTATCAAGATACTGTGTCTTATGGTTGTTATCCACCTTATACTATGGATGAAGCTTCAGAATCAAGGTGTGAGAAAACAGGAACTTGGTCAAATAAACCAACTTGCAAAGGTAAAACAGCATGTATTGTATTTGTTCAAAATAGCTTTTGTTTTTTAAAAAAGTATCTTAACAATGTAATGAATGTACATAATAGTTAAGCCAGTTTATTTAATAATCCATAATATCGGAATTCACAAATGATGAAGAGGAACACAGAATGTTTACTAAATCTACAAATGACACAAAATGGGAAGTATAGCTTATTACCTTAGAAGACAGAAATAAATTTCACATGATCTTGATAAGTAGAAAAACTCAGCTGAAAGTTACACATTTGAATTTAGCAGAGATAAGTAAAAAACTTCACTTAGGAAGGAAAATCAAATGCAGAGAAATAAGTACAGGAGTATCTGGCTGGGTAGTCATTTTTATTTTTAAACATTTTGGAACAGCATTGACTGTATATTGAATATGAGTTAGCAGAATGATAAGGCTAGAAAAGAAATTTTTACATTTATTTATTGCAAGTAATTTTTAGATACCGTGTTTTCCCGAAAATAAGACAGGGTTTTATTTTCTTTTGACCCCCCAAATAAGGGCTTGGCCTTATTATTGGGTTTATTATTTTGGGGGTGTAGGAGGCAACGAGCATGGGACTGGATGTCCTGTCGCTGCTGTCGCCTCCCCTCCCTGTTCTTCCCACCAGCCAAGCCCAACACGTCCCACCCCATCCCACCCCAATGGCAAATGCTGCTTTCCTTCCCCACCATCTCTTTATCGAGAGGGGTGGCAGGTGGGGCGGGGGAGAAGCAAGACGCGTGGAGCAAGGCGTGGCTCCCCTTGCCATCTCTTCTCCCCCCTCGTGGCAGGGCTCCTGCCCCTCGATTAGGCACCTGCCCCCTTTAGGGATGCAATTTGGGGGTGGCAGGTAGGGTGGGTGAGAGGTGGGACACACATTTTACCTTTCTAGCTCTATCACATTCCTCACCATTGTGTCCAGGGAAACACACTGTAAAAGAAAGCCTTCTCGTGAGTTCAATCAAACTTCTCGAACTCAAGAAGTTTGATTGAACCTCGCCTCAACTCATTTTGGTTGCGTGGTAAGCAACCAGAGGAAATGGCGGGACCGGCTGCGCATGTGTGTAAGTAGTTGGTGGGGAGGCTTATTTTGCGGGGGTGGCTTATATTATTGCATGCGCTGAAAAGCCCAATTGGGCTTATTATCCGGACATGTCTTATTTTCGGGGAAAGACAGTACTTTAGTCATTTGATTTGGCTTTATTCTACTGTAGTCAGACTTACACACAGTTTCTGAGCATTACATTTAAGATGGATACAGAATAAGTTCAAAGAAATAAATGATTGACATCAAAGGACTAGAAATTAAATTGGATAAAGAGAGAATGAAAGAACTGGGCATGTTCAGCCTTCAGAGGCTTCTTAAAGAATGTCACATAGAAAAAAGTCAAACATTCTATTTTTTATAGTGCAGAATATGCAATAGTGGATTTTAAAAGTATTGGAAGTTTAAAAAGAGAGATCAGAATGGCTCCAACCCAGTGGGCTTTTCAGTTTTAAAAGCTTGGCTACATACAGTAACTGGGCCTGGGACAAGGGACATGTGAAGGATCCTCTTATTTTGCTTTACTACCGTATTAGCTGATTAATCATCAGGGCTACTGTTTGTAATAATTTACTTAGTGGATGGGTTTTTTTTTTTTTTTACTGTTTTAATGCTTTTTAAAATTATTTTGTTTTATAATTTTAGCACTGTAAGCTGCCCAGTGTCACTTAGTTGAGATTGTATAGAAATTGAATTAATGAATAAATGAATGAAAACAGAATACAAAAAAATCAAGTCATTTACAGAGAACATTACAATAATCAAACAGCACTCATCAAACTGAGGCAATGTTGGTTTTCAGAGGCTGTGGAAAATCACTCCATTTTTACACTCTTTCAAAATGATGCCTAAGTTATCACTGGCTACCTCGAGAAGAATGCTAGTCCATAGGATGAGGACCCCAGCTGAGCTATTGCCAACTCTGGGTTCCCCCACCTGTCTCACTTCCCTGGAGTGGGACCCACCATGATTCTCATTCAGGACAACTGTACCAGATGGGTTAGTTTTACCTGGAGGTGGTGATCTTGGAAGTACCTCAGAGCCAAAACCACTTAAGAGCTTAAAATACCATAATAATAACCAAAACCAACCTTTGAACAGCAGTGTCTATAGTATTGGTTTAATTTGGGTGTGATGACTCTTAACTATTGGCACCTAGGCTGCCATCTTCTACATAAGCTGGAACTTCTAAATAGTCTTCAAATGTAGCCAAGGTAGCTGTGAGAAATGTGTTCCCATCTCCTTTAAGTATAGCAACTGGGTCCCCCCCCCCATTTGTCTGTCATTTTAAAGTAGGAATCTTTCAGGTATAACATGTAAAGGTATACTTATTATATATGACTAGCTGCTTTGGAACACACACAATATTTTAAAAAAAGGGTGATGCAGAAGATATATAAAGATTTTTAAATAGAGATTGCTGTGCAAAATACACAAAGTTGAATAGCCTGCCTTTGACAACATTTACTTAATTTAGAAAATCACTAGTTAAATAAAGTAGTCAGACATTTCGTATCCCATGGTGCTTCTATGATTGTTGACCAATTAATTTTTTTAAACTATGCACTTTATGTTCCTTCTTCCTCTTCCGGTAGCACCATGTAACATACCAGTGGAAAGAGCGACAGTGTTATACAATGGGCAGAAAATAAATGTGGAAAAAATTAAGAGTCTACAACATGCTGAGACAATCTGGTTTTTCTGTAAAAGTAAGACAGAGAAGTGCAGTTATAAAATATCAACTCAATGCATAGATGGCGAACTTTCAGTCCCTGGCTGTTTTGAAGGTATGAACATGTTTTTTCATTATTATGGGAACAGATGATATAACTTTTTTGACATTAATTTGGTTGGCATTGTGGGAAACATAAAATTACTGGAAACATCCAGAGCTTCGAAGAATGGTATGGGGCAAAAATGCCTAATAGGGGTTGAAAATTAAATTTAATCTATCCATCCATCCATGCCCATATCTCTCACAGAGATGACATGAGATTTACGCCTAAACATCTTTGAAGCCTCTGAATATGTAAGATACATTTCCCTGAATTTTGACCACTTAATCTGCGGATGTGAGCAGCTTCCCACCCCTTCTACAGTGGTTGTGATGTTACAAGAACATCATTTCCAAACATTGGTGCGCTTGCTTCCTATTGCACCAATATAGTAAGAATAAAGTTTTCCTGCATTAGAGGGAAAAGGGTATGAGAAATTAATTTAGCTATTATAGTAATCATACCATTTTTAGATTAATTTCATAAAAACAGGATGGCTCCCCCGCTTCCCTGCAAATCAGATGTTGAAGAAGCAACCACCGTAAACAGAGTTTTCCTAGAGCTAGATTGTGTTTACTAGATAAGGAACTTGACTAAATAAATGTGTAACTTATTTTATACAGAAGTTAGCCGGTTTATGTCCTGGTTCAAAAAAGATCCAGCAGACATGTCTCCATGTGGGAACTAACTGAAGATATCATCTCCCTGTCCTCCATGACGTATTGAAAAAGAAGTACCTATAAATGGAGAATTCCTTCAAGATCACATATTATTTTTCCAAATACATGTACCAGCATATGTACAGTTAATACTTTTTTATCAAATATATTATTTTGATATGATTCTTTTAATATTTTGCTTTGCAAATTAATCTGATAAAACTACTAGACTGTATTGTACTACGATACATAAAACACCCTGACACTTTTCTAGCTTTTGATTTAATAAAACATGTATAAACCTCAACTATGAAAGTTTCAAGGTACTTTATAAAAATACATTCCCAATCAGTAACACTTCAAAGATTATTAATTGACAACATTGTTAAGCTCTGTGTGTCTGATGTTCCAGGGTCTTGGGCACCTACCAAGGTCAATTCCTCAATTCATAATTTCAGGCAAAACTGGGACTTGCAAGAAAAATATTGATCTTGTATTGATCTTAACAAGCAGTTAGGATCATACTGAGCTAGTATCTTTTAAATATGTGTATTTATTTATAATTTAGATGCATAAGACTGCCCAACTCAACATTGACTCTGGCATTTTGATTAAAAACAGATACAAACCTAAAAATGATAAAATAAGCATGATCTCTGTAGATATTCTCAGTCATCCTGGTCATGGTTGTCCCAAAGGTGCTTTTTCAGGAGGCAACTGGACTACCTTGTTTTTTCTTTTGAAGACGTTTCACTTCTCATCCAAGAAACTTCTTCAGCTCTGACAGGATAGTAGGGAATGGAAGGATTTATATTCCTTGCAGACAGCTAGTAATTTGCATCCTTTTAGAAGGTCATTGAAGCACTTGAAGGTTTATCTGTGTCCTCAGGATCACCAGAGTAGTGCTCCTGGTTCCTGTAGTCTGCAATTTTTCCTCTGGAAATCCATTCCTACTCCCACACCATTCAAAGGGTGTTCATCCCAAATCCTGTCAGAGTTGAAGAAGTTTCTTGGATGAAAAGTGAAATGTCTTCAAAAGAAAAAACAAGAAAGTCCAATTGCCTCCTAAAAAAGCACGTTTGGGACAATAAGCATGATAGTAAATATAGTGGAAAAAACCAAATATGTATACTAACTAAAACACATCCTGCACGCCACATGGGGGGGTGGGGGGAAATCAGCCTTTCAGATATTGTCCAAACCTCTGGAGGAATTCTGCTCAAAGGGACAAGTGCGATAACAGAGAAGTCCTGCTCCCTAGGTTCCATCAAACATTTTCAGTCATTAGGTCAAGCATATCTGCTGTGTTGGATTGCATGGGCAAGGGAGAAACGATGAGAAAGAGGATAGTCAGGACCTATTCCTTGAAAGCTTTTGTGTGCGATGACCAACATCTTGGATAGTAACCAGAAGCTCATTGGCAACCTGTGCAGCTGACATAGCAGAGATATAAGAGGTAATTGATGGTCTCAAAAGCCACTGAGAGACTAAGGAGAATCAGGTCATCAACAAGTAAATTTAATGCTTTTTCCTCCTCAACAATATTACCCAAAAAGGGAAGATTGGAAAAAATTGTTCAGAACCATTTAGTTTAGTGATGGCTTCTTGAAGAGAGGATACACATCCTTTCTCAAGGATGAATTTATTGCCACATGGATCCAACTATACATTACCTTCTGGGAGGCTTTAACCAACCAAGGAAGGATATAGATCCGTGATGGCGAACCTATGGCACGCGTGCCACAGGTGGCACACGGAGCCATATTAGTGGGCACGCCAGCTCAGCTCTGGGGCGCATGCGCGTGCCAGCCAGCTGATTTTCGGGCCTTCTGGGCCCACCAGAAGTAGGGAAACAGGCTGTTTCCTGCCTCTGGAGGGCCTGGAGGTGGGTGGGGAAGGCCCGTTTTTTTCCTTACCTGGCTTCAGATCCACTCTGTGTATCTGGGAACAGCGAAAACAGCCTTTCCCACTTCCTTGGAGGCCCTATGGAGGCTCAAAGGGCCCATTTCCCCACTCCCGGTGGGACAGGAAGTGACGTTTTTTCCTGTCCCCAGCCTCCAGAGACTCCTAGAGAGGCTCCTAGAGAGGTTCTGGAGGCTGAGGACAGCAAAAAATGTCACTTCCTGTCCCACCGGGAGTTGGGAAATGGGCTTTTTCAGCCTCCGTAGGGCCTCCAAGGGAGTGGGAAAGGCTGTTTTCGCCATTCCCAGATACACAGAGAGGATCTGGAACCAGGTAAGAAAGAAAAATGGACCTACCAGGCCATCATGTGCCAGGAGCGGGGGGGAGGGGGTTGCGCACACATGCGCGTGGGCACGTGCGTGCGCGACCTCCCCCGCCCCCCCCCCCTCTCCTGTCATGCGATGGCAAAAAGGTTAGCCATCACTGATATAGATCTAATAATTTCCAGATTGACAATTGCAAGTATTTTCCCTCAGAAATCATACAAAACTTCCTATAAAACAGGGCAAGACGATACCTTGGCTGCTTGACAGGACCTCCTAGTCCAGTGTTGGCGAACCTTTTCGCCACCGAGTGCTGAAACGGGAGCACGTGTGTGGGAACCTGGAAGAGCAGCGGCCCGGCACGCATGCGTGCACCGGGAAGATGATCTTCCAGTTTTCGGCACGCATATGCGCGCTGGCCACCTGGTCTTCTGGTGCACATGGCTTGGCAACTGGTTCACATTTATGACCATTGCAGCATTCCAGGGTCCTGTGTGATCCCCTTTTGCGACCTTCCAACAAGCAAAGTCACTGGGGAAGCCAGATTCACTTAACAACGGTGTTACTAATTGAACAATTGTAGTGATTCCCTTACCAAACGTGGCAAGAAAGGTCAGTAACAATGGGGCAAAACTCACTTAACACATTTTCCCCTTAGCAACAGAAATTTGGGGTTCTGTGGTGGACGTAAGTCGAGGACTACTGTACTTACCTGCAAAGCCCCAGGGGCAGGGGTGAAATCCAGCAGGTTCTGACAGGTTCTGGAGAACCGGTAGGGGAAATTTTGAGTAGTTCAGAGAATTGGCATATACCACCTCTGGCTGGCTCCAGAGTTGTGTGGGAATGGAGATTTTGCAATATCCTCCCCCCAGAAGTGGGGAGGGAATGGGGATTTTGCAGTATCCTTCCCCTGCCACGCCCACCAAGCTACACCCACAGAACCGGTAGTAAAAAAATTTGGATTTCACCACTGCCCAGGGGCTCACCTTCACTAACTGAGAGCATGTGAATTTACCCGTTCCTGCCCAAAACCCGAGCTTTTGTCTTTTATTTCCAGGAGGCAGCAGCTTCCCTTCACTTTCCTTCCTTCGTTTGCCTCACCTCAATAAAAATAACCCCACCAGCCTTTCTGACCCCCAAGACGGCCCCTCCCAGACCGAATTCTAACGTTCCAAGAACGCTCGCAAACTCCGCGTTGCGCGGCAACCGCCCGCCAAGCTTCTCACCGGAAGCGGAAATCACTTGGCTCTGCTCGCCACTCCCTCGCTGAGAGAGAGAGAGAGAGAGAGAGAGAGAGAGAGTTGGGCGCGAGCCGTTGGCTGCGCTTGGATAGGCTCCTAGCAGCGGTTGCTTCCGTCCTGGGTTTCCTTCGCGGGCCTGAAGCGCAGCCTTGGCTTTTGCCCAGTCTCATGTATCCCCTTCGCAGTAGGAGGAGGAGGTGGAGGAGGAGGCGTGGCCGCGTCGGTGGCGAGAGTTTGAGCGTCTCCGAGACAGTTCGGTCCCCCGCTTCCGCCTCCCTCCTTTAGACCTCTTTGCATTCATTCCCCACCCTTTGGGGAAAGGGGTTGTGCTAGTAATCCCTTCCCTCGGTGGGGAAACGGTTGCCCAAAGCCTCCGACGTCGTGGACTGCGTGAGGTAAACGGGGCTGTATGGTCAGGAAGGTTGGGGTTGAAGAGCCAAAGGGTGAAGGTTTCCCGTTGGGCACATTTCTTGGCCGTGGGAGCGGCGTCCTTCTTGAAATGCGGGGAAGTGGGCTTGTGAGGAGATCATACATGTGACAGAGGTTCGGTGTTGCTATCCCGTGGGATACAAATACACCGAACTTAGTGGCTCTGGGTGGTTTGACTTACTTGAACCACAAATTAGACCAACACATTTTTAGCCTCGTGTGAACCGTTATTGGATGTGGCTCAGTGGGTTGTGAACATAAACATACATACATACATACATACATACATATGTATGTATACATATATATATATGTATATATATATATATATATATATATGTATACATATACATATATGTATACATATATATATATATGTATACATATATATATACACACACACACATACACACACACACACAAAAGGTTCAAACTTTTGAGTAGCATGAAGTAATTACAATTAAAAGAGTTTATCCTACATACATTTTCATAGAAGGAAGAGGATCACTTATTTTGGTTTTTTTTTTCCTGGAAACTGTGGCTTCTCCCCTCTGATTGGAAAATACTAAACAACCCTTATGCATTTTGGCAGTTGTTTGCTCTGCAAGCTTGTTTCAATTTAGTTTTATACATATTTATACTGAGAAAGATTTCATAATTCTATATATAATTCTATAGATTCTATCATTAATCATTCTTATCAGTTAGGGTTAACTGTATGTTTGCATTAGTAATTTCTGGGTTGTGACTGCATTTTCTATATTCGATTCGCTATAGGTTGGGAATGACTGATAATTTCCTTGGTTTTTGTGATGATTTGATAATTAAAAGAGTACTGAAGTTTGTCAGTAGTATAGCTACTTTTTTTGTTTTTTATTTGATTTATATGCCACCCTTTTCCGGAGACTCAGGGCGGCTTACAATGCGTTAAGCAATAGCCTTCATACTTTTGTATATTTATACAAAGTCAGCTTATTGCCCCCACAAACTGGGTCCTCAATTTACCCACCTTAGAAAGGATGGAAGGCTGAGTCAATCTTGAGCCTGGTGAGATTTGAACTTACAGTAATTGCAGACAGCTGGTATTAATCACAATGCTATCAGTCTGCTGAGCCACCAGGCCCATACTTGTGATATTTTGACTGGATTGCTGAAGCAAATTCCCTGGAATGGTCCAAAAAAAGAAAATTTCCATGAGTTTTGTTACACCTAGATACTTTTGTAATTGTCTTCAGGTTCTATTCTGTGGGGAACTTGAAGATCATCACAAAAATACCTTAAGTCTAAACAGTGTGAATTAATGTCCTGCCTTTAATACAGCTAGTTCACAATTCACAATCATTCATTTAGTGACTGTTCAAAAAAAGTGGAAAAAATTGACTCATCCATTTTTCACATTTACAATCACTGCA